CTTCTTTGTATATCTTTGTTATTATTATTTTGATTATGTAACTATGTGATGTAAGGACAATAAACAGATTTTCTATCTACATAACAAAAACAGAAATATAAAAATATCAAGTGGTGGGAGTGAAAGTAAGGATGAGATAAAATTCCAATTAGATAAGAAAGAAAACCTCGATGTCTGAAGGACGTAGAACTAAGGTTGATTTCTTACAATATTTTGTAAGCAATTAGACCTATTTACCAATTAGACCCATTTAGCAATCAGACCCGTTTAGCAATTAGACCCGTTTAGCAATAAGATCCGTTTAGCAATTAGATCCGTTTATGACTTGAACCAAATTTTGGGACATATGCACCTCGGTTTCATAAATATCAATCCGTTCTCTGACACCCTCGTCGTTGCTGCTCTTTTCCTTTTTTATTATTTTCTATTGTTGTTTTCACCAGGTTTTTGTCAGAGAGATTCCCAACTTGATGAAAATCATCATTATGTTTATTTTCTATTTTCTTTTTTATATAGATAGATAGATAGAAAATCTGTTTATTGTCCTTACATCACATAGTTACATAATTAAATAAAAATAACACAGATATACAAAGAAGACATGGAATTCAAAAACATTTGTCTCTATGAGACTACAATTTTGTCTATAAATACTACATACGTTTCCGTAAATAAATAAAGAAAACCAAGCTATTGCACTTGACTATTCTACGGTTACCTTCCTCTCTTTCGTCGGTTATATCTCTTTTATTTTTATTTTTATTTTTTTTTATTTTATTTTATTTTTTTCTTTCTTTATTTTCTGCTATTTAGTATTACCTTGGTAAGTGCTACTTCTGGGACTATTTTTGGTATTACAGTATAGTAACCTCAGTCTGTTGCCTTAGAACAAAACAATATATGGTCTAGTGGCCTAATGGTAAGGTACTACTTTCCGGCGGTAGTGATTGCGGGTTCGAGTCCCGTCTAGATCTTTTTTTGTCTCTTAATTATCTTATTTTGATATCACAAATTATCTTGATATTCCAAAAATAAGATTTTTCTTTCTTTCTTTCTTTTATCACTATGAATTATGTTTGATAAAAGTGATATTTTTGTTTAGATAGAAAATCTTTTTATTGTCCTTACATCACATAGTTACATAATCAAAATAATAATAACAAAAACATACAAAGAAGACAGAATTCAAAAATTTTGTTTATTACTCTTAAATTATTCATAAACCATTGACAAACAGCAAATCCTCAACCAACCGCTCGAATCAAGAAAAAAAAAAAAAACCATTAAGTGTCCACTCAATATATTAGCACCTAATCTGAAACCTTTTTTCCTTTAAAACCATTGGTTTTTTTAGAAATCGCAAAATTAAATGACTGTCAAGTGTTGCTTCTGGAAATAGCATATTGTGAGCTCGTGTTTTTTTTTTTTAAAAAAAAAAAAGTGAATTTCTCTTTGAATAAATCTGTGTGTCAGCAGACACCATACAGACTCAATGTTGTGAAGTGTTAGATTTAATGAAGAAGTAAAGAAATGAAAATTTTTGGCAGACTAAAATATTAATTCAAACCATCATCATGATAAATAGAGAATCATTTCATTGTTCTTACATTACAAAAATACAAGATTAAAATATTAACAACGATATATACAAAAAAAAAGGCATTTAACTATCATTTCGACCATGATAAATTATCATAAAATTCTAATGAATAATGGTAACAAGAAAAGGGTGTTGCGATCATCTAAAATATGTATAGTACATACAACAAAAGAAAATTAAAGCCGGATCGAATTATTTTTTGAGATGAGCACGGCAGTTGAGTGTGTTGGAAATATTTTAATTTAAGTCGGAAAAAAATAAGTACAAAAACTACTCTGTATTTGGTTTTTTTAAATCATTTGCTTTTTTTCAAAAACTAGATCTTGTCTTGATGAAAAACATAGGAAGAATAACGACCATTGAAACTTTTTTTTTTTTAAGATTAACTATTGGAAAGTGCAATAAATATAATTATCTGCTTTATACTACATATAGAAGTCATAAACTGTTGAAGGAAAAAAAAAAAAGAAAAAAAAACCAGATATATACATAAAAGAAATTGCACATAGCTTGAATGACCAAAAAAAAAAAAAAAAAAAAAACAATATCGAGACAGAGTCCTATAACAAGTCTTTTTCTAACTCTGCCGCAAACTCATCGTCATCTTCATCATCATCGTCGCTATTGTCAGCAGTGGTATTGACTTGAGAATCGTGTGTTTCTTTAATTTTCTTTGACGATTCATCAACTTCGCCATCTGAAAAGACACGTTTTTTACTATTTGCCTCTTCGTCTGGTGGACGCTTAGCTGAGATGGTTTTTCCAGCAAGCGTCTTGCCAGCTCGTGATGCAGTCTGTTTTTCTTCCTCTTCTTCTTCCTCTTCTTCTTCTTCGTCATCATCATCGTCGTCGTCTTCGTCATCGTCGTCATCATCGTCGTCATCATCATCATCGTCATCATCGCTATCATCATCATTACTTTCTTCACCGTTGAAATCCTCCTCTTCATCAGATGAGTTCATGAATTCGTCCAGTTCCTTGTTAATCTCGTTCCAATCAATCTTCCCGTCGTTTAACGATAAAACAAAGGAATCAGTGTCAATATCTTCGACATTATCATTTTCTGTTATTTTTTTGGCACGCTCATCTTCCAGAATTGTCACATTGCTACCTTCTGGTCGTTCTAAGAAAAATGTCTCCTCAGGTACACGCTTCCAATTAGCAATACACTCGTATAACCATTTCAAATGCACGACTTTGACGTCTGGACGCTCAAACGCACGACGCACTTTAACAGTACCATTTTTAACAGCAATAACATGCGTTACCGTGTCAATAAGTTCAGCCACAACAATTGCACCAAAACTGCGAACCCAGTGCACAATATCGGCTTGATCAAGTTCAACACCCAGAGGGAGAACGCCAGAGAAAAGAATGACGCAGTCATGAAACACACGGCGCTTCATTCGGGGCATAATCACTCCAATGTCTGGAAGGTCTTGCTCAGTCAACGCAATGGCACCCTTCTTCGAGACAAGTTTGTCATATTCTTTATAATACTCATCGTGCACGCTGATCAGTGCACGGTTCAAGTTGAGGAGTTCAGAATCATCGTCATGTAGCAGTTTTTTATGATAATGCTTTGTCTCTGATATGCTGTTGGACTCTGTAGTGCCGTTCAATTCAGCTTTTTGTTCTTCCGTAATATTTTCGTTTTGTACGTCTTTCTCTTCTTCCTTTTCAATCAACTCTTGCTGTTTGGCAAGTGGACTTTCTTGTTTCTGCGACTCAATCAGCTGGGATCGCTCGAAAGATTGAATTGCTAGTAGTTCTTCACTATCAACACCTTCCTCTTCTGCAATTTCATACTCAATGTGAGATGGTTGGTTTTTAGTAGCTTCGCTCGGTTCTTCAACCTTTCCATCAGCATCTACCGGCAGCTTTTCCATATTAGCATCTCCATTAGAAACTGCTTCTATAGAAAGAGTATCTGGAGGTGGTGTGAGATTCTGCTGTGGCAAAAAACTAGAGTTAATATCGCCAATTCCAACAAAAAAACTGTATGGAACGACCTTGATCAAATTGGGACTCCATTTCCAGACGTCACCTCTATCATCGATAATGGCAACCATAGAAGTTGAAACCGGAAATAATCTCTTCAGTGACTTTTGTGCCATACTGCCACTTTCATCACGCGAGAGAATACGGTCACCAAAATATTTTCCTTCAGGATCAATGATATTGGCGATGGCGACTGCATAGGCGCGAGTCGCCATAGTGTAAACATGCATTTCGTAAAGATTGTATACTTGCTCAAAGAACTCTTTCAGTCCTGGTCTGAGCTTGACGTAATACCGAGTGTGCGTTTGAATAGGGACCTTGCCAGGGCCGTAGCCTTCTTCTAACAAGACAAAAGATTGAACATCTTTAACGGCTTCATAGTTTGGATTTGTAGGGTCTGATTGCCACTTTTCGATAGTAGTGTCGACGGCAGCATGGATGACGGTCTGATCCAAATCTACCACAAGAATCAGTTTTCTGTTCTTTAATAGCTGTGACGAAGACGACTTTTCCATTCTCTGTGCCTCATCCAACGAAACCTTCAAACCGTTTGAGTCGTGGGACATGGAGATCGGAGCGCGGTCCTGGTTGTTGAACTCTGTGTAGTCCAGTTCGTCGACCTTGGTGCCGCAGAGAGCACATAATCCTGCGTACTGAACAGAGTGAGTGCATGGCTCGAGAATACGGGCAAACACAAAATTAGAATCCGAGATTTCGCTGCCAATGGTGACATTCCACTCTTTGAGCTCACCTTTGATCGGACTCTCAAAAGTACCAAAAAATTCTTCTTCAACTTTTTTCGGTAGTTCACCATTCGCCTCGTTAACTGGCACGTCGACCATGTTCCAGTACTTATAGCGCAGGATGGGCGTGTGCTTTTCTACAGAGGTGGCTTCATTAACTAGAAGCGCAGTGACGATAACGGGAAAAAGCGTTGAAGACGGAAACTTCAACGCGGTAGGTTCGATTTGATCCATAGATAGGGTGATAGTTTTTTTTTTTTTAGAAAAAAAAGGAAACAGATTAAGTCAAATAGACTTGACGGATATAATATTTATTCTGATTGTTTGTGAACAGAGATAGATGTTTTTTCAACACTGACATAACAGTAATCCAAAGCTTAAGATGCGTAATGGAGCTTAATTGGACGCGAAGCTGTGAATATAAGTGTGTCAGAGAAGTCTCGTAATCTAAGAGAAGACGTGTGTGATAATCAAGAAAATATAAATTATCCAAATCAAGGATCACAAAAAAATAAATAATAAAAAAAAGAGACGTGGAAATGCCTGGGGGTTTTATTTTCTATGCTGCTTTGATCGCGACTGGGATAAGATGTAATTTTTTTTTTTTGGAAAGAAAATGTGAAGGAAGGAAGAAAAAAAGATGGGAATTTGTGACAGTTTTATACTTGTCCGGTGAGAATTGGGACTTGATTTTTTTTATTTCAATGTGTATTACCGGTTTGTCGACACCCATAAAATGCGTTGCCCGTCGGGACTTTGATCTCAATGATACGACAGCATATGAACGAAATCCTGTTTTTTTCATAATCTACAATGCTTCACAAGTGATACAGTCTTGTGATGAGTGTATTAATGAAACATAACCATGATAAATAAACAAAATAAATTAAACATAAACATAGCAGCGGGACAAATTCTAGAAACGACCTCCTCGCTGTCCCCCGCGGCCCCGAAATCCGCCTCTGCCTCTTGGCACGTTTGATCCTCTGATCTTGGCCAGAGTCTTTGGTCTGAACATTGGCGCATGCCTACAAAAGAGTTAGCATATATGAATCCAATGAGGATAGCCTGGTATAACCGCCAAAATAAACTGGTGTAAAGCCAATTGAAATAGTAGCAAAATAAAAATAACTCACCTTAACATGTCTGGAATAATGAATAACTTGACGTGTGATCCTCTTACGTACACCTGCTCTAAGTGCGTCACCTTGCCATCGCGAGCGGTTACTGTCACATCTCTTAGCTGAACGTTCATGTTATCCTCAGCTGTGAATGTTAGTATTGAATTATTGCTATCCATGAATGATTTACTTACCTTCTAAAAGCTTTCCTCTATATGTCTGGCCTGAAGACAGCTCTAATGTCACCACATGGCCCTGTGAAAAGAGTTAGTATAAAAGCAAAAAAAGCCCTGCCAACATCCAAAAGCTTACCTGTGCCTCGTTCAGCAGCTTGATAGGAACACCAACCGTAGACATTGTGTATATGCAAGAAAAAATATTATAATTATTATTATTAAACTCCAATATTCAAGGCAAGTGCCGTCGTTGCTGATGATGGTCCTGAAGGAAGTTCTGACAAGAAAAATGTTTGGCGGTTGGGAGAAGACAAGCAAAAAATCTGTTAAAAC